CAGCTTCTGTTTGGCTTTAAGTTGAGAAAATGCTCTGATATGTTTGTTTGGGTCTTTATGGTGCCTTTCAGCTCTATGTACGCTAATCCTAACTTACTGACTGACTGACTGAGTGTGTGTGTGTGTGTAAGGAGTTAGCCAGTGACCTGGATTACGTTAACGCAGAGGAAATGATCAGCTAGTGACGGGAACCACCATGTGGGGAGAGAGTTGGTGTGAAGGGTGTACTCATCCCTGCCCTCACCACAAGTAACATGTGAAAGGGAGAGCGTGGTGTGGGGAACGTACTCGCCCCTCCTCCTTACCACAATAGTGCTGTCTCAGAGATAAGAAACCTTGTAACATAGAGAGCTATGGTGAGTACTAATTTAAAGACTTTATTCACCATCTCACTAACTGAAAAACTGATGAAAGTTTGAGACCTCTGAAGTAATTGTATTTAATGTAACTAAAATCGATACCAGGATAAATTCTTTAAGAATTTACCCTCTCGGTGGATTCGAAATAGTATATAAGAATTCCAGTGATCGTCAGTCACTAAAATTTTGTGCAAGTTACAGTTTATCTGAAATTGTGACTTATTGTAGGTTATTAATTTTTTATTTGATATATCACTTGATTCAAACTTTCCTGCCTAACAATACATGAAAAAGACGATAAAAGCGATAAAAAGGATTGACAAGTCGATTATATATATATATATATATATATATATATATATATATATATATATATATATATATATATATATATATATATATATATATATATATATAGGGTTGCCATATCTGAACATTCAAAAAAGAGGACGCTCCCGAAGACATCCCCTCCCCCCCCGGCACACACAGGCTAATATACAACATACATGGTATAGAAATCTTAAAAAAAAATTACCTTTGCTTAAGGCTGAACATCTTCATTCCCTTAGCTGCAGTCTTCTTCCCCCCACTGTGTGTGTGACTTGATGTGCCCATGCATACTTTTCTGTAGATCGGATCTTTTTCAGTATTGGCTGATTGCTCTTTAGAAAGGTATAGAAGTCACTGCAAGGTGTTTCTCGGAAGTTGTACTGTACAGTCAGAATGCCTTTCATTGTTTCAACACTCAATTTGTTCCTTTCCTTTGTCCATTGACTTTGCATCAGTGAAAAAACTCTTTCGACATTTGCATTGTGAGATGATATAGCAAAGAAGAATTGTGCAATTCTTAGCAATTCTGAGTGGCATTCAATGTTCTTTGATTTTTCAAAGTATCTGGTCCACTTTTTATGTGTTGGCAGATTACTAAATTCTTCATCACTTGTAATTTTCCACAAACTGCTTCAGGTTACTAACTTGGTCAAAACACTTCATCAACTTCTACCCCCTTATCAATCAAATATTTGACAGCTAAGTTGACAACACCGTACAGGCGTACAAGTGACTTATCAGCTGACGAAAACTGAACGAGATCTCTACGGTTTCCACCTTCCCTCTCTTCTCTCTCCCGTCATTACAGTTTCATGTTTTTTTTTTCCGTGGAGAAAATGATGGAAGCTGAAATTCCGGACTTTTGAAGAATTTTAAAAATTCCTTCCGGATGAAGATTTCGAGACCTAAATGGAGGACATGTCCGGGAAAATACGGACGTATGGCAACCCTATATATATATATATATATATATATATATATATATATATATATATATATATATATATATATATATATATATATATATATATATATATATATATATATATATATATATATATTCTGATAAAAAAATGATCTTGTACTGTAAAAGATTTCTCCTATTATAAGTCCATTATGTCTAGATATCTGAACGACCTTCTTGTAAGACCTAATAATTTAGTTGCCTGATTCACCTTAACTTCAGTTCATTGTCAACATGCACACCTAGGCCCTTTTCACATTCAGTCTCAATTAATGCAGTTTCTTCGTCCCGTTGGAACATATGATACAACTTAACTTCCTAAGCAGCTTCAGATAAGACCCGATATAGATGAGTGAACGATAAACACGAATACTAGTTAATTATGTCTTGTGTAATCTAGCGTGATCTCCACCCCAACCCTCTTCAGATATTACTGATGGTGAAGGGTGAAGGCCAAAAGGAAAGGGTCTGTAGCGAGTGTACCCATTTATTGCAGCGGATCCAGGGAGGTGTCACCATGGGCACTGGGCACGAGCCTCCTCCTGAGTCCTGACGGATTAAAAAAAAAAGTGTTCTAAGCCACCTGACTGTCTAACACAGGTTCTCAATTATCGGAAAGGAAACATTATGATCTTCAAGAGTGGGGTGCTTACCCGTCTGGAGTACTGTTCTCGAGATATGCTAGGGACTGCCAGTTGATTGAAAATGTCCAAAGGAGGGCCACCAGGCTGTTGCCAGCAATTCGGCACCTCAGCTACCCTGAGAGATTAGAGCGCCTCCAATTGCCTATCTTATACTACAGACGGGCAAGGGAGGACCCAATTGAGGCGTATAAACATCTCAAAGGGCACTACTCAGTCGAGTGTCCATACCTGGAGGCTGGTGCTGGCGGACGCTCGTCGCACAAGGGGTCACAGCTCAAGGGTGAAGAAGCCGCAAGTCCAGAAAACTGTGAGGGGTAACTTTTTCGGAGTGAGAGTTGTGAACTCTTGGAACAATCTGCCAGAGAGTGTTGTGACGGCGCCGAGTGTGAGCTCTTTCAAGACCAGACTTGACCAACACTGGAGCAGGTTCAGATACATTCAGGAGCCAGTGCATGCCCAGTATTTGCCAAGAGTGCGTAACAGAGACGTGACCGACCGTCCATGCAGCTGACGAGCCGATGAGTGGCGAAAATGATAAAAGTAAAGTAAATATTACGCATTAATTTTACCCCCATATTAAATAGAGGGATTTTACTTCGATGTCCAATCATCTGCATCCAGTAATAGATTTACTTCTTGCACACATATAATAAACCCTGTATTGTCGATTAAATATTTGAAAAGAAAAGAATGGTTTTGTTAAGCACATATTCACTGTTTATAAGATATTTAGTTTGAAAACGCACAGTAGTGCATTCGTAAACGCGATTATTATTTATTTTTTTAGAATTTCCTAACAACATTCATGACATCCCAGTTCCGCTTATCAAGGTATTTCTTAATATGACGTCACACGTTACGACTGAGCACGTGATTTAAGGTGGCAGTTACTTGTGCAATGAATAACACATATTGATAACTTATTATTTATTCTATTGTACAATGCATTACTGTAATGTATTCATCTAAATATAAATGGCTAAAATAATAATCCATTAAATGAATTAGTTATAACAATATAAGCCATGCACAAGATTACAAGAGTAAATAGGAAAAATCCGAAGTAGATTGTGGAATACTGTGTTCATCGTCTGTTTACAAGGGTTGGTATAAGTGACGGGAACTGAGCGAGGCCAAAGGATCCTACTCTATAAAGAACCCGATTCTTTTATACACTTGCCTTAGTATGGTACGTACAACTTTTTGTATAAATTAAATTCATATATCTCCCTTTTAAAAGCAGCATATTAATTTTGATAAGGTTTTATAAAATCTGCTAACGTATTTCAAGTAAAATACCAATTCTTCTTTTTAAGGTATAGATTGTTGTTGCGTGCATGAAAGAGGTGTTGATGCTTTTTGAGGTTTCCAGCGAGAATATTTGGTGAGTTTCAGTACTTATTCATTCAACTTGTCAAGTGATTAAGGCAGGAAGGGTTATAGGGAAAAATTGCTATTTTATAGATATTAGCAAAATCTAGCTGATGGGGGAATGGCTAATACTGGACGTGTTGTAGGATACGTTCCTCAGCCCAGTTATGAAGGACAGGTAAGTGTGGTATATAAGTCAAAGACATTGTTGAATGTTTGTTTTTATTTTTTAGTGGACATACAGTCGTCATTACATGATTTAGGTAGTATAGGTCACTGAGGACAGTAATTGGATGTTCGTAGGAATGAATACCTGTTCCTGATTCAGTGTTTTACTGGCAAAGTGTTTAATTTGCTCAATATTACTTTTAAGAGGAACTAGTAAGGACAGTCAGTCATGTTGACAGTGCCTTTGACAGTATACTTGTTAACCTTGGCTGTGTGTGGGCCTATTGTGTGTTACTCCTTTTAGGGACACTAAATTTTGCAGTAATTGACTTCATAATAAATTACGAATAAAGGCAATGTAGGATAGAGGCTAATACTAAAGCTCTTGCACAACTATTGAGGGAAAAGGGTAATGTTGAAGCTCATTTGCATGACCTATATAGTAAGTATACTAAGGAGCAAGACCACTACTAAACTGGTGTATTTTTTTTTAATTTTATCAGTAAGACATCCAATACCTAACCCTTTCACCTCGTCGGCCAATTTTGGCAGTATTCCCCAATGTGGTGAATAAAACACTTGGTCCCTACATCCAAGCTTTACTTGACTCATTTCACTACATATCTGAAATAACACAAAAGCTTATGTTGTAACAATTCAAAGAGGAAACAACAATGAACATAATATAACATGGTGGTTTTATCCTAATAATGAAATAAACTAGAATGATCACTTGTTTTGGCTGTGTGGGGGAGGGAAGGGGAGGGCTGTCTAAAAAACGAGTGATTTCCAACGAAAATCAATATCAAAATCAAATAAGACATCAAAAACCATCAGAAAAATCTAGGCTTCATCACCAGAAGGATTATGGTCCGAAACTTAACCTTTACCAAATTTAATATAGAACATGTATGTTTTTTTTACCACATGGCAATTAGAAGTGCATGATCAATACGTTGTGCTTGATGTGAATTTTGCAATTTCTGTGTTCGGGTAATGGATGTGGCTCGTCCAACTGCTGTCAGACGCCATTATTATTTTCATCTCACAGTTACTGCTTGTAGAAATCCATGGTCAATTATGAAATCTTAAAGTTTTTGGAAATACTTGACAAAAATGATCCATCCTTAAAAAAATTCTCCAATGAAGACAAAAGTTATTTTGCCTCAAGAAACCGACCTAAAATTCTGGAGGAAATACATTTGACTTAATTTCACCAACCCGGTATGTTTAACGTCTTGGGAGGAGCGACTTTTGTCTGCCATATACTACAACTCCTCCCTGACTTCCGACCTACTCCACTTCCGACCTACTCCACTTCCGACCTACTCCACTTACGACCTACTCCACTTACAACCCACTCCACTTACAACCCACTCCACTTACGACCCACTCCACTTACGACCTACTCCACTTACGACCTACTCCACTTACGACCCACTCCACTTACGACCCACTCCACTTATGACCTACTCCACTTACGACCTACTCCACTTACTACCACCCGGACATATGACCGCCTCAGTCGTACCAAAATTTTGTTAAATTACGTATTTTCGAGTCCCAAAGTCAGTGATTGCGCTGTGTACTGACAAAATTTTCGTTTGTAATTCTCTTTAAAATGGCTGGCAAGCTTAAAAGTGAGAGTTTTGTGGTGCTGAGAAGAAAAAGAGACACCCATTTTTAATTTTCTATGTATTATTTAAGCATTTTCGACTTACGACCTGGATTTGGGTCCCTAACCCTGTCGTAAGTCGGGGAGGAGCTGTAGTATGTTTTCTGGGATCACGTGATGGTTTGTTTTATTATTTTTTTAAAGACCGCTATAAAGTATAATTCTTCATTCATAAAATGAAGAAAACTAACCTACTAAACCTAACCTAATTTAAATTACTATCAGTAAACCCTCCAGTTTGGTGACTTTCTGTTTGGCGAATTTGAAGTAATGTCAAAATTCAAAGTATCCGGCCCTCCATTTTGGCGACCAAACCCTCACCTATGGCGAGAGCTTAAATTTAAATGCAATCACAACTAATAATTGTAGAATAATAAGTGTAAGATAAATCTCGCTTAATATTACTGGTGAGTGTTTAATGTTAATATGACTTAGTTTTAAGTAAATCTGTCTTGGTGATAATAGTCCTTGAATTTAAATACTGTACAGTACTATTTGGGGACCAGTTCATATTTTTCAAGCTGATTATTTGCTAGGAAAATTTAGAAGTCAGATTTGCAGATTATTTGCAATGATTTAGTACAGTACAGTATTGAACTTTTGCAGTTTTTGTGTCCATAGTATAATTGGTCTTACATGCATTAGTAAGTTGTACTGTATTCATAAAAGTAGCAAACTACTCATAACATTTTGATGTTCAGGGAAATTTTGCATTAAGCCACTAAGTATATGTGTGTTATTTTATTATTTCACAGATTGAACCAACAAAATTGCTGCGATTGCGTGTTATAGGTGGTAGTGGTCTAGCAAAAAAAGATATATTTGGTGCAAGGTGAGTTAAAGTGGAGTTTTCATTTACTGCACTATACTGTATACACATTTGAAAACTTGTAACATGATAATTAGGTAATTGATTTTTTTGGATTCAGAAGGGGTCTTGCAACATACACCATTTCAGGTTTTTAAATTTATTTCCATACCAGATTAAATGAGTTTGTCATAAATTACAATTGAAAATGTCAAGCGTTATCTGCTATTGACTCTGTGGTCAGTTGGTACGTTTTAGAACTTGCTAGACAGACTCAGCGTGGCTGACAATGTTTACTGCACGAGGATGAAGCCAAGCATCACACTGACGTTATGTACTGTATATGTTAAACTGGAAAACACAATAATATTTCCTGTAAGCACACTTTACAGTAAAAACTATTACAGGTATGGTATAGACCAGTGATTCCCTACCTTTTTTGGCTGCGACCCTAAATTTCCCAACAATACGGTATCGTGACCCTCAGGCATATAATATATTCTACAGCTTGAATGTTACGCAAAAATTTGTGTGACTGTGATAAATACTATATTTTAAATTGTCTGAAGGCCCCTCGCGACCCTACTGAGGACACCCCATGACCCTGATTTGGGTCGTGACCTGAGGTTGGGAACCACTGGTATAGACCCTTAAATTCAGAACTCTTGGGACCAAGACCAAACCAGTTTTCAGGATTTTCCAGTTAAGTGGGTCTTGGGTCATCCATTTCATCCTAGGTCTATCAGGAGACTACCTCATATTTTGCTTCCACACATTGCATCACTCACACAAACTCATTTGAATGTATGTTATACTTTTTAACCTTTTAGAGGGCAGGGATTTCTCTCAGGTGAGCAAAATTGTCTAGTTTTAGCCAGAGTGAAATACCTAAGAGTATTGGTGCCTTCTAAAGGGTTAAATAACAAAATAAAAGAAGTCATTGCATACATAATTTAAATGAAAAATTACATTTGCCAGAAGTGAGTTAATAAATAATTAGTCTCATATAGCTACCTTTATAATCTTTATTTTTATTTATTTATATTAGTAAAAATAATACTGTAGTACTGTGTACAGGGAGTCCCTGAGTTACGAATGCCCGCTGATACGAACGGGGTTAAACTTGAAATTTATTGTATCTGATGACTTATTTTTTACTTTCATTTACTGTATTTTGTCATTCTATTAATCCTTTTGTCTTAAATTAAGTGATTTTACATAGCATGTTTTCCAACTTACGTATAAATCCGACTTAAGAAGGTCCTCAGTAACAGAACCCCCTGTAAATTTTTTCACATAACTTTTGAAATTGATACAGAATTGGTCAAATTAAACCAAAGAGTCATGGTGCCATAACTTAAGCCAGGTGCTGTCTATTGTCACACAATCTTATGTTCATCCACACTTCTACAGAAAAAGACTTCCATCAGAATCTCTTTTCTTTTAAAAATAGAGTGGTCCAGCTCAGAGGTAAAGTAATAACTACAAAAAGGAGATAGGCAAGCTGGTGTCATCAAACAGGTATCTTAGATATAAGTTAGCTGAATACTGTACTGTATACCAGACTATAAAAATGGATTACAGTGGTCCTCGGTTAATGAACACAATTTGTTCCAGAAGGTCGTTCGTTAACCGAAACCGTCGTTTCAATGGGATTTGGGGTAATTGGTTCCAGCTCACCGAAAATTACATACAAAGTAAAAAAAAATGCAGTAAAGTACACTTACTTTGAGGTGTGCATGTAAAAGGCTCCTGGTTGATGATGATGATGATGGGAATTAGAAGTCGGGGTGGAGGAGAAGGGAGAAGAGAAGGAAGTGGGGGTGGAAGAGAAGTCACCCCATGCTTGATGCCGTCATTTCACCCATAAAATTTTAAGCTCACTAAGTGTAATTCAAGATTATTTTCTTGAAATCAACACTGCACTGCACTATATATTGTCAATATGTTGAATAAATTTCAGAATGACCAATAATTGTACTGTACTGTAAAAACGTAAAAATGTTCAAGAGACCCACAAGCAAGATATTTCCTCCACTGAACAGAGATACAAACTGAGGCCTTGGTGGGTGAGTGAAGTGGCTGTTGGGCGCACCAAAAACTAGTTCCCTGTACTGCATTTATGTTAAATAAGTGTTAAAATGACTAAAAAATTTAATATAAAACTTGGACAATTATTGAATAGTACATCCTTGATATTTACTCCAATTTTAACGAATGTAAGCCCTAGAACCGATTTCTGTATTGGCGGACTAATCTTCCAGCTGGTGAGCAAGCCAATGCATGTCGAAACATTTTCGTAAGAATTTCATTTACCGAATTTTTGTTCGTTAACCGAAATGAAGATTCTTATGGAAGGTAATTCGTTAACCGAAATTTCGTTAACCGAGGGACCACTGTATAGCATCAATCCCTCATATGCTGTAATTTTCTTTTGAGCTCTGCATTTATCGCTGCTGTATGTTTATATGTCAGAATGTGATTTTGCCAGAATTTTTTTTGGTGATACTGTATAGACTGCTGCAGATTGTGCTAACTGCCAACGAATTATTGTGAATTAGTTGGTTCTTGTACAAGCAGTCTAGGGTGTTGAAATTAATGAGAGAGCAGTGCAGTGTCATCTAATGGAACGTTTACATGATCCTTGGTAATATCTTTTATCAAAAACATTAGATTTAGAGCAATAATCTAGGTTTATATTGAGATGGCTGGCTATCTATTGCATTTGTAATGTTAAATTGAATTATTCCAGTTTTCCCATTCAGAGTTGAAATGTTTGGTGTATGATTGATCTTGTTCTTAATTCATTGTCAACTTCTTTCAGTGATCCCTATGTCAAAATTGAGTTAGTGAATGTGACAACAAATGGAACTGATGATGTTGTTGACTGTGTCCTCACCAAAACAAAGAAAAAGGTAAAACTTTCTGCTTTCATTTGAAATGTGATCTTATTCAGTGGTTTTGCTGTGAAGTAAAATTAATCTAGTTAAATTTATAAGTTGTTTATAGCTGTGTTATCTTTTTCCCTGTAATACAAAGTTATTTTGTTCTGAATGTGAAAGTAAAAATGATCTATAGAAGGATTTGTTTGAATATCCTGAATACAGTATGTTGTTGTGTTGAGACAGTACAGATGATTTCCTTATACAGGTAATTCAATTTCTCTAATATCTGATCTTGTTTTATTTTCCAGACTTTAAATCCACGATGGGATGAAGAATTTGTATTTAGAGTAAGTGTAACAGTATGAGTATCATATGTTATAGAGTTCAGTAATTATACTGTACAGTATTATGATGTACAAATGATGTGTGAAACTTAAGAGATTTTTGAAGGACATTTTCAATTTGGTTGTAAAAGGTTACAAAAATGAGTTTCACTAATGGTACAATTGATTTTAAATTATATTATGTTTATTGAGCTGTTTTCACAGCCTTTCATTTTTCTTTTTCCTATACAAATCTGGTTTCAACATCAGAAATGAAATATGAAAAGGTATTAAGAACAAGTAATGTATTTAGATATTTTTTTCAAAACTTTTAAACACTAATATCATTTACTATTAGGAGAAACTCATGTGATTATTTTGTGTATGTAGGTGAAGCCAGCAGAACACAAGCTTGTGTTAGAGGTGTTTGATGAAAACCGTTTGACTCGTGATGACTTCTTGGGTTTGGTAGAATTACCCTTAATAAACCTGCCACGTGAGTCAGAGGGCAGACAGATTCCTCATCGGCACTACAGACTTCAGCCCAGAAGGTATTTTCTTTATTTAATATCTTAATTTAAATTGAATTGAAATAATTTGTATTTTCCTGCCTAATTTTAATATACTATAGTAGTAGACCCTTGATATAACACGATTCAATACCATGGCTTTGATGAAGTGCATTGTAGTAGGTAGTCAGCAGGTACTACCGCCTGGAAGCATAACGTGTTGTCTAATGGGAGACCCTGCTGCCATATGGTACGTACCAGAAAAATTGAGACCAAGTCCCAGATTGCTGATCTGCGGGGTCTCAGGTGTTTATCTTACTTTGACAACACAACATACATGCAGTGATATCCCTGTTAGCTGGAACATTTGGTGCAGCGCACTTCCGGGGATGAGAGATTTCTGGCTAACCAGATGACTTTCTCAACCCCAGAAAAATTCCTGTTTCTCTGGATCTTTTCCGGTTACCGGAAAAACTTTCCGAGTGTCTAGACTACCAGTAGACATCTTGCTCAGACGCACAGTAGCCCACTTCCTCAGAACGTTTCTGGGTGTTGGGGATGTAATAGAGCACGGACTTGAGGGTAGACTCACATTTTTATTAAATTTGTTCCTATTACTGTATTTGTGAGAGTATTTTTCCATTATTATTTATTTGTACGTATGTGTAGTGTGTGTGTCTACACACACACACTACACATATTTTGCAATACAGGTAAAGGAAATTAGTGTCTCTAGAACGAATGGCTCCCTGTCCCAGCCGCGAAAATGCCGGCAACTTTAGAACTACCCACCGACATTCTTGGGTACATCCAGGGTGTCATCCACGAATAACTGAGAAACGTGAAGTAAAAATCCGCGAACTTGGGAGGCATAGTGTACTGTAGTATACATTATTTTCTTTACATTATTTAAAATATATTATATTTGTACAGCGCTGTTTGCGTAAATTAATACAGCTCTGTGTGAAATGCGTTTTTTGAAATATATTTATATATCCAAACTTTTAGAACAACCGTTATGGATAATTTCGGTAAAAAAAGTGGTGTTTTCGCTTATTTAGTACTGATTTATTGACTCCAATATCAATATTTATTATTTTTTTTTATATAAAAAAGAATGGAGGCCCCATCATTATATTGAGTCAAAAATTTTTCTTTAAGAATCTTTTATTAGAAAAGTCGTGTAGAGAACTTATTCATGATCGTTATGGTATCAAATTCATTTCTCTTAACACAAATAGAACAAATGCTGTGAATAAAGGTTTATACACTTTTTTGCTCGCCATAAATATTTTCTTTTGGGGCTTGGTGCCCCCAAAATACCTTCATGTGTAGGCCTGTATTTTATTCATTTTTATATTTGTATTTATTTAACCAAACATTTAGATAAACAATTCAGGATTATTTTTGTAAAAAATGGTGTTTCTAACTTAATGAGAACTGATTTTATAGACTCCGGGATAAACATTCCTTACATTTTTTCATAAAAGATTTGAGTCCACATCTTTCATGTCAAATATTTTGTTTAAGAATATTTTATTGGAACAGTCTTGTAGACAATTTATTCAGGATCATTACACTACCAATTTTATTTCTCAAACATAATAAGAGAAGATGTTGTGAATAAATTTGCTTGCAACCTTGCGCCTCAAAAATCCCTTAGCTTTCGTCTTTATTCAAGACATGTTCTGGTCATAAGACACACTGATCCCCCGCCCTACCTCCACCTGACATTATATCAGGTCAGGTCTGTAACATAAGACCCACGAATCCCCTACCGTGCCTCCATCATAACATTTCTTATGTTTTTTCATAAAAGAATTGAGTCCCCATCATTATTACCTCATTTTTGTGACTGTGAAGTGAGCAGTGTAACTTTGAAACTGTCTGGCAATCATTTTGTTCACCATATTGAAAGTCAGGGTGAAGGCTACATCTCCAGTCCCCATTCTTCAGACTCCCCAAAGTCTGTGTGGGACTCAGGTTGATGTCTCCACTCCACCCTTACCCTCGAAGCGGACATATGATGATGACCAGACGTGTTTTTAGTGATGTGGTCAGTGTTGTTCAATTGTTTTGTACTGATAGCAGTGCAGTGATATCCCCGTTAACCAAACAATTGGTGCAGAACTCTTCCGGGAATGAGAGATTTACAGGTGATGAGACGACTCTCTCAAACACAGAAAATCCCACATCCCCGAAATTTTTCCAGGCATTGGGAAAAGTTTCTGAGAGTCTAAACAATGCATCTTGCACAGACCGACACTAGCCCACATCACCAGAATGTTTCTGGGTGCAGCACCTTACGTTACGCCATATAAGATGCACGGCCATATAAGACTCATTCCCACTTAAGCAGGGAGTATTTAGGAAAAACCTTGTGTGCGTATTTTCCTTCAGTAGCCACAGTTTTCTTGTATACAGTACCAATACCAATAAATATGTTACAACAGAAAATACTGTAGTACCAGACCAGTAAATAAAAGCCAAATGAAATTGTAATACAGTTGCCATATGCATACACTCCCTGCTTCATGAGAGAGAGAGAGAGATATGCTGTAATTGAATGTATTTGAATACCTATTACGAATACTTCATCCCTGTTCTTAGCAAGACGAAGTCTGTCTAGAGCTGTTCTAACATGTGATGTATCAGGTCACCAGTCATTCTCCATTGAACATAAAATTGGATTTCTTACAGTATTTTAATCCTTCGTCTTTTCCAGGGACAATATTGTATACAGTATTGAGATTGCCTTCTCATATCATGCTTTCCTTCTACCTTTACCATAACCAGACAATTGAACTGGGGTGCTTAAAATGTTATTGACCTCTTTCCAGTGTATACAGTAAATGGGATTATTTTTACAGTACGCGGTCACGAGTGAAAGGTCATCTTCAGTTATATGTTGCCTATGTAGTGGATGATGGAGCTAGCAGCAGTGGAGCATCCGGAGAACAGACTCCAGAGGAGGCTGGCTGGGAAGTGGTGAGCATCGACAACGGTAGTGGCCATGAAGAGTCCCCCGCACAGGTGAGAATTCCTTGCCTCTCTTAATAATAAATAGGCAAAGTAAAGTTAGAATTTATTGAAGTTGACACTAGAATTTATTTAAATTTTTTTCCTTTTTAATATTCTTTATGAAGGAATTAATATGTTTAAGACTGAAAAGCCAGTTACTGTATAGGTTGACAACCCTTTATCCGAAATTCCGAAAACCGAAAAGCTCTGAAAACCGATTTTTTTTTTTTTTTTTTTTTTTTTAAAACAGGGATTAGCCCACCCAGGCATAGATCACTGACCCACATCGGGGCCTGGGTGGCAAAAATGTAATAATAATAATAATTATAATAATAATAATTATTCATAGTAAATAAAAATTTTAATAAAAATACACCAAAATAAAATAATGATAACAATAATAATAATAATAATAAAATATAATAAAATTAATAATAATAATAATAATAATAATAATAATAATAATAATAACAATAATACTGTAATAATAAAATAATAATAATAAAGAAATACAAGAATGAAAAAAAGATCAAAAGTGAGAAACACGACCTAGACCTATGAATTATTATTTATTTTATTATAGTTTCCCCCGATGTGGGTCAGTGATCTATGCCGGGTGGGCTAATACACATTAAAAAAAAAAAAAACCTAACCATTCTGAAAACCGAAAAATTCTGAAATCCGAAATGCCTCTGGCCCCAGGGATTTCGGATAAGGGATTGTCAACCTGTATTTATAATTGTTGATAGTGTGTAAAGGTGTTAAAACTGCAATATATTTATTTATTTATTTTTTGTTTTATTTTATTTATTTTTTAAGGGTAGCGATAAGTAACAAAAGAAATACTGTAGTTTTTAACTTCTGTATTTAAATTATTGTAGCTAATGAACTGTCTTGTAATTTGAAGAAGGTATTCATTTGCTAAAAGTACACAAACACTTAAACCATCCTGTAATGTTGTCTTCCTTGGGTTTCATCAGTGAGTAGTAGTATAACATTCTCTTTGGGGAGAGAGAGGTTGGCATATACATATCAACACTGTCAGTGCAAGAACTTGGATGTGCATTATGGCAGACCATATACCTGTAGTGTACATTTCTGGTTGCGCCTGATAAATTATCTAAGTTATGAATGTCATGATGTCATTATTAAACTGAAAATAAAATTGGGGTTATCTTTTGTGAATGGTATATCTTACTGCTGTTTTGAGATCTCCAATATGATTTTTTTCACCAATCTTTGGAGGCTGTATAGATGAGTATGGGGTCATTGATGATGGGGAAAGGTCTCTGATGCACTTCTTAGGACTTGTGTGATATGGATGCTTAATTCTGTGGGTATTATGGGTATATAACTCCCCAGAAAACACAAACAGCAAAATTATCGTGTGAAGAAAGGGCATTAAATTTCATCAAGCAGGAGTGAGGTTGTAAAATTTGAAATATTTGGGAAATGGTATAGATAAACCATTCAACAAAAGTTAGCCTGAACAGATCAGTTCAAATTAAGCTGATTTTAGATTGGGTTGAGGATAAAAGAGATTAGGTTGAATAAAACAATTGATGACTCCTTAGATGGGGAAAATGGAAAGATCAGTTGGGATGAAGGAGAATATATAATCTAATATTTGGGATCTTTGTTTGTGTAGATTAAAGAAAACAGGAGCAGTGGACATTGAATTGCTGTTTGTGTATATGGCTCAGTCATTATAAAACTGTGTAACGAGGGCAGATGGGAATGGTTGTTGGTGAGGGCACTTTGTTGTTACTTAGCTGCAGTGTTTCTGGAAGCTGTCCACAGTTGATTTTTTATTTTATTTATATGTTGTTTTATATGAATAACTTGTGGGAGTGGTATTAATCTTATGAATTAGAGAGAGGAGAAGTTGGCCATGTTCTCAGGGAACTTATGAATCCATGGCAAGGATATCTAATTCCACTCATGAGATGTTGTTACTTTTTACTCCAAGATTACAGTATTTGCCTGCATTGGTTCCAGACCTGATTGTTCTTTGTGAAGATTCCTTTTTTCTCTGATAAAGTTATAATCATCATCAAAGAAGGATTTTTTTGGTTATTATAGCATTTGATAATCATAAAAAGTCTGATGGATATTATTGGAAAAGTGTTGAGAAGTACTGTAGCTGTTCTCAGAAATTCAGCCCAGTCCAATTAACTCTTTCACCACATTGGCCAATTTCGGCGGTATTCCCCAATAAGCGCCAAAAGTCACTAAAAATTTAAATGCTTACATTAACGTTTTAACTATTTTTTTTTTTTTTGGAAATCACATGAGGAATCCATATTTAACAAATAAAAAGTCATAAAGTAATAATTTACGAATAATTAAGATTTTTCTGTGTTCATAATAATGGGCAATATCATAAGTAGATATGTCAGATAGTGTAAACTGCAACGATAAATAGTTTATCTTCCATTGAAGTCACATAATTTTATTTTACTGATCATTATTCATATACATATATATATATATTGAAACTATATCTTTGGGGCAAATGCAAAAATCACTTGTGCACAGACGAGATTGTTAGTGGGTAAATGAAATAAAAGATCGTAATAGACTTGTTATTCTATTGCACTTGTTATTTATTGGACGAGAACACAATGTAAATTAAGATTTCAAAGATGAAGTTTATTGTAAGACAAGGAAGTAAACCACCTTTGGGAATATATATATCGCTAAAGAATAAATTCATATATATATCCATAAAAACTTGATTTTCCTTTCACATTTTACACGCCTTACTCACTCACTTATTCCAGACATTTCTGAAAGGCAAAGAAAAACACGAAGTATCGGAAAACCCGTCTCAATATGCCATGTTTGGCTCTCTGGTTATGTGTCGCTCTATTTCCTCTCATATTATGTTTCCTTTCTCCTCTGTTCATTTTGTACTACCGCTTTCTAATAAATATTTCATATAGCACACTCGTAAACTTTTAAAATACCCATCCCTAAAAAAATGAATAAATAAGGTCACATAATTTTCCATCATGGCATATGCAAGAAATATTTTCACTTCCCAATTTACCTTGTTCATTTCCCTTCTAATTTAATGATTATCACACTCCAAGTGCTAGTATTGAATCTATAGAATAAATACTAACATTATATATACATATACAGTGTATATATAAAAAGTTAGTCATAAAAATGGAGAAACTGGGTGAAACACAGAGCAGCAATGTTGACTCCTAGTGTTTTGATGGCGGGAGCTGCCCCAGTTGCCGCTAGGTGGCATCATCTACTGGGCCGGCGCATAATTCAAACCCTGAAGGACTGTAGTCGAGTTATGCGTTAACAGAATTTTTTTTTTTACGAATGTGGACTAAAGTCGATTTACGCGTTGAAGGACAAAAATAAAAAGGTGAAGAAAGTAGAGCTATGCGGTGAAAGGGTTAATGGATCCATCACAGCAGTTTCACTACAGAAAATAGCAGTTGCAGACTTGTTTCTCTCTTTATTTTAGAATAAGTGTTACCCCTAGCTGGATATATATTCCGGCAAGCACCTCCTAGAAACTTGATAATAGTCAAAGGAATTTGCAGATGGCTGTTCAGGCATATTTCACTTGTAGGAATAACATCAGATAAAACATGGTTTGCTTATAGGTTTAGTTGAATATGTAGTTTTCAAATTTTTTTTTAGACGGTCCAAGTTAGGAGAATGTGTGTGTGGGGTGTAAATTTTTGACTAAGCTAAGATATACAGTAATAATTTTATGAGAAGTATATCATGTTTTGGAATTGGCAATTAGATAGGAATATATAGTTTGGTGTACAGTATAATATGCTTCTGCATTTATTCAAGATATGTCTTCTACTGCCATGCACACCATGTCTCATTAAAACTCCAAGCATCTTATTTTTGTGCATTCCCTGCTGATGCCAAAACCTAAGTTTCATACTTTGAGCTTAGGATCTGTAAATTTTAGATACCTGTTATGTCAGGAGACTTGTGGCTCCATGGCTTGCATGATCTGTTCTTTAATACTGTTTATGTCGAGAACTGCCATTAGTCATTCTTATGCCCCTTCACTTGTCTGAAGAACAGTATCAGTTTAATTATTGAATTGTCAATCTGATGAATATCTCTTTCTGGCACCCAGTATCTTTATCTTAATGATTACTAAGATTATGGACTAGTTTGTAGTTGGTTCCCCATTTTATGCTTACGTCATTTTACAGTTCACTGCCTTTCGGAAAAAGTGCAGCGTACAGGTTGGTCCACTTTGGTTATCTGAAGGCTAGTGTACTCCAGTAGTAGATATAAAAAATTCAAGATTTATTTTGTTGTCTTGGTTTGCTAATCCAGAAGTAGTGATGCATTATGATAAATATTTTTGGTAGTGATGTACTTGGTCAGCTCATATACTGTTCCATATGGAATTTATGGAAGTGTCTTTTCCATCTTTGTGCAGTATTCCATTTTTGAGTAAGGTTTAATGGATACCAAGATACACATCTCCCTCCAGGCTTGATGGTCAGTGGATGCCATGATTCATGTTTTTACCTTTTAAATATATAAAGAACCAGTCATCATTAATGTTTCTGTACAAGTACTGTAGTTCACATTACCAAAATATTTTTCACCATTTCTCATGCACCCATAAAACATGAACAGTTTGAGAGTAAGTTAATTAAGAATGAGCTAAGTTGTTTTCATCATAGTACTGTGTCACCCCTGGAGTGGACTGGCTATTTTTGTAAAAGGGTTTTTATTAGTCTTAGGCTTTTTAGGCTGTGATAGTTCTAAGATATTTTTGTTTTGCAATTATTGAGCATTTGAGAATTTTAAATTTATGAATTACATGTAAAGTCTTATCCTTTTGCTTAATGGGTATGGAGGCATGTGCTAGCTTCTTCACTGACCTGTTTATGTTATGTTTTTGGCCTCCCATCTTGGATGTATGAGCATGATAGTTGAAGTGTGTTTTGTGCTGTTGCTGAGGTTCAGTTGTTACAGCAGAATTATTTATAGAAATAGTAGCTAAAATGACATGCCCTTCTTCAAAGTTATATTCAAATTAAAACTTTCTGATTGTATTTAGATAATATACAGCTATACACCCCTCCTCAAAATTAGATTAAGAATAATTTTTTATTTAGATGGTGTAATGTTACTTGCTCCATTTCAAAGTTAGATAAACTTATTAAATATTCTAATTGCCTTTTGTTACTTCAGTATTCCATGTGCCACTCTAAAACTAAATAAAATTTTGAAATATCTTTTTTATTCTATATGCCTTCTTCCACGTAACAGCACTTGTAAGTTATAATAAATCCTAACCGCACAACTTCATCCAAGCTTATTTCTTCGGATTCTTCGATTGAAATTCATCTCACATACACATTCTTCTGCCCAGCCCATTGCCTGTCATTATCATCATCATTTTATTGCCATTTTACATATTAAACTACTGGCCATTGCATTATGTGTGAGGTGGCCGACGGGAAGTGATCTTTGCTGAAGTGTCTCACACCCTTCCATGCCAGCCAGCTGGGGCTGAGGCAGGCATTGTAAGTCGGGCAGCGATGGGAGACGCGAGGACATGTCAGCAAGCAATCAAAATCTTCACCAGTTGCCCGAGTAAATTTGGTGAACAAAGATTTATGAGTTTTACCCCCTGACATTGCCCCCATTTATTGCCACAATGCCAGTTGTTTCTTTGCTTTTTTACCACAAAGGCCAAGAGGAAAGATTTAACAAAAGAGCAGCTAGCGTCAATTATTACTCTGCATAAGGGCAAGAAGCCTGTAAAGGAAATACCAAGAATTGTTGGTGTGAGTGAACGATCATTTCAGATTTGGATTAAACGATTTCTAGATGACGGCTGGTTGGCAATACCAGTGCACAGCGGACGGCCAGGGAAGGCTCGAAAAACTTCCCAACTCACGTTAACTGTTCTTGAGAGGCAACTTGATGCTAATCCAAGTCTGTCATTGTTGGAATTGAAAGAAAAATCCCTGTACTTCTAGGTGATGTTTCTGTAAGGATCGTTCACCGCCGCATCCATGACGACCTGCAGTTTCGCAGCCACCGCGCACGCAAGAAGCCACTCCTCACCCTTGTCCAGAGGCAACGTAGGGTCGCTTTTGCCAAGGCTAACGCTCAGTGGGATAGGACCAAGTGGCAGCACGTGCTGTGGAGTGACGAGGCAACGTTTTCCTTTACTGGAAGTCGTACTTTTAATGTGTACAGGCGCTCCGGGAGTGATTCGCTTGACCCCAAGTTCACTTTTAGCACAGTTAAGCATCCCTAGTCACTAATGGTGTGGGGGGTTGCTTCTCGTACTTTGGAACTGGTGATCTTGTTGTGCTACCTAGGAATGTGATGATGAACCAATTTAACTACTTGGAGCTGCTTTGTGATTATTTGCCTGGGTCTTTTGAAAAATGCTGCGCTGGTGTGTTTATGCAGGATGGTACCCCATGTCACACAGCAAAATCTGTAATACAATGGCTTATTGACTGTCAGGTAGACTTCATAAGTGATTGGCCAAGCAATTTGCCTGACCTTAACCCGATAGAAAATAAGTGGAGCATTGTCAAGCTTCATCTACAAGGCAAGGACACAAATACCGTTCTCAAGCCATTCTGAGGAGTGGAATAGTTTAGACCCACAAATACTCCACAACTTGGTAGAGTCAGTTCCTTTACACCTGCAGGAGTGTATCAAGAGAAAAGGGAGGCCTCTAGACTACTGGAAGTTTGTTAACTTGTCAGACTAATTTTTTATAAATATTTCATCTTGTTGTTTATGTCTGTCATGACCCCGCGCATAATGCAATGGCGAGGAGTGTAGCATGGGTTAGCTGTGATTACCCAATAGCAGTTTTCCATGCTGCATGATCTCTTGCAGCCTCTCTCGTCAGGTTTTTATATCATGAGATTATTTATCAACCTTTCTACCTGTCATTCTTGGTCCAACCCGGGCTTTCCTCCTCTCTACATTCAAACTCATGCTTCTCTTGACACAGTTGGTCTTGAATGCTCTCTCCACTTGCCCAGACCATCTCAGCCTACCTCAACACAAAACCTTGCCAATACAATCAAGAGTCCATTTGACATACTGTACAGTACAATGATATCCCTGTTAGACAGAATAATTGGTGCAGAGCTCTTCCAGGAATGACTGAGTTTCCAGGTATTGAGACAAATTTCTCATCCCCAAAATTTTTCTTGTTACTGAGGAAAGTTTTCTGAGAGTTTAAACTAAGCATCTTGCACAAACACTCTCCCATTATAATTGGGCTGCAGTCATGAGTGAAAATATTTAATTCTAGCAAAAAAAATGCATAAACTTTTAATCACTGAACAGTATCTGTTCTAATTGTGTTTGAGAGATGAATTTGGTACCATAATGATCCAGAATAAATTACTAACAAGTTTGTTTTAATTAAAGATCCTTCAACAAAATATTTGGACACACAGTGATCATGGGGACTCACTCTATTATGAAAAAAAAAATGTTTATGCTGAAATCTATAAAATCCGTTCTAATTAAGTATGAAATGCCGTTTTTTCTCCAAATAATCCTATATACTGTAGTTCATCTAAAGGTTTGTTAGAAAAAAAATATATAATTTTTTTTTTTATAGAATACAGGTCATCAAATGGAGGTATTTTTGGGGTACTGGGGAAAGTTTCAGAGAGTCTGAACTAAGCATCTCGCACTGTGACTGTGTCACAGTCACCCCTGATGCTCACCTTAGCAACAGGGATCCGCTATGGATCCTCTGACCTCTCCACACATAGCTTCACTGTGGAAACCTTTACATATTTTTTTCTTCTCCGGGTAATAGCCCACCTGGGCACAGGTCATCGACCCACAACTTTATACCTAATGATAATTTTTGTTTTCTTTTTGCAAATTCTGTGTTTAGGATTATGTGTGCATTTAACTGAGTATAAAAAAAAAAGGAAAGAAAATTACCTCAACATAACATACAGCTCACAGGTGTGATATGGTTGGAAATATTCTCGCTCAACTTGGGAATTACTTGGCGCTCATTTTAAATAATTTGTTCCCCATTATAACCAGTTTTTGGAGCATTCTGGATTCCAGGACACTGGATAAGTGCTGCCACACTCATTTCATTAGTAAGGTGGACTATGGCCAGTACAGGGTAAAGCTGATAGGTAGTATTTTTCCATGTTTGCCAGATCTTGGGATTGAACCCATTACATTGAATCAGGAATTCTGCCTCTGTGCTATTATACAGTATGTATTTTTCAAATGTGAAATATGAAAGTTTCTTTGAATTATTTAATTTTAGACATGCAGATGGCATTTATCAAGCCCAACTTCTCTATTTTTTATATATTTAAATAGAATTTCTCAAATTTTCACACCTTTTCAATCTCCAGAAACTGGAAATTATTGTAAGTTAATTGTGTTACTAAAACTCCTTCTGATATAGAGCTGTACTTTACTGTATATGTTACTGTAAAAGATAAAGGTTGTCATTTTTGCAGTTAAGATGGGATAACCATCATATTGAAGTTTGATTTATCCTCACAGCCAGTTTTGGTTCCCAACGATGGCCAGAGTCCACTGCCAGATGGATGGGAAGAGCGACAAGATGCGAATGGCCGAACCTACTATGTTAATCACAATGCTCGAACTACACAGTGGGACAGACCAACCAGGTAAAATTTTATCCCAAGATTATTATTATGTGGTAATCAAAAACTCCCTGATGCTTTAGATTGTAGTAAGTATTAGGCAGCTACCAAACAGGGAGGTACTACCTTCTGGGAAGGTATGGTAGACCCTGCTGCCATATGGCATCAAAAAAATTGTGACCAAGTCCCAGGTTGCTCATCTGACTTTCTGCCTCATTTACACACAATTGCAGGGTCTCAATTGTCTCTCTTACTATTGACAACACAACATATATAACTGTACTCACTCTTGATCTGTTCTATTCTTTCTATTCTTTTATTCTCCTATGATGTCAGTTGACAATAATATTAAAGAGGGGCCTTCTCGGATGGGTTCCACTGGTCGGGAAGGTTGTGAACCCCAGGGACGACCTGATCATCATCAAATTACCGAGGCCTCAACTGACGTCACCACGGTTGCTGGAAGATCTTTTTTTTTTTTCACACTTCATTTTTCCAATATTCGTGGCCTGAGATCCAATTTTCCTTCTGTGGAGCACCATCTATTTACCTCTTCCCCTGACCTCTTACTAGTATCTGAACTTCAACTGACCAAAGCAGCTTCACCCAAACCTTTTTAAGTCTCCAACTACAACCTTTATACCTCTTTCTGTTCTAAGGGAGGTGTATGGGCCTACTGCAACACACGTACACCTCTAGCTCGACTCACGGATCTTGAATCTTCCCTTTATGATGTTATCTGGCTCAAAATATCTCTACCAACTATGACTATTTCTTTTGTTTCCTATATTGTTC